TAATTAATCAATCAATTATCTGTTGCTACAATGTCCAAGCCCTCAACACCCTTGTATTTGCCACACATCTCCTGTTAAGAATTGGGGTTCCATCTTAAAATGTCAACCTAATTAAGAGGAGTAACTCAATCCTTTATAAGTTGGTTTATGTTTACATCTTTATTCGATGTGGGATTTTATCCCTTAACATGCCCCCGTAAGATGGTGGCTCATTTAAGCAAACCAATCTTGAAATCCGTATGGTCACTTTTAGAGTCCTAATCGGATCGAATTACTCGTTAGAACTTAATGGGCTCTGATAGCATGTGAAAAAAATTATAAATTGTATATAATAAACTTGAAATCTATAACAAAGTAGAAGACACTAATTGTAGGGCTATAAATAACTTTAAAAGGAAAGATTGTGTGATAATCACATAATCAATAAATAACTCTAAAAGGAAATATTGTAATTATATAATCAACTATTAAGGAAAATAATCCTGAAAAAATATCATAGAGATTATACTTCCCATATCTTCAACACAGATTCTATCAACATCCACATTCACCCATCCTCTTCTGGCACAGCCCAATGCACTAGCAGCCTGAATCAAACATAGCACAAAAAGAGATATATAAACACAAATCTCGTCAAGTTAGCATCTAGATGAACAAAAGTGCTCATCTCTGAAGAAATTAAAATTACTTGCATAAGCCCCTTTTATGTGAAGAATAAGAAAAAAAAAGTGAATGTGTGTGTGTGTGTGTGTGTGTGTGTAAAGCCAGGTTATTTATGTAAAGAAAATATGATAACTTTGCAAAGGAAGATTGAAACTTCATCCAACATGATTATCAAAGGAAGAACAAGTTCAAACCTTGGGCTTTTCAATCCAATTCCTTGGGCTTTTCAATCCAATTGGCAGGATTGAACATTGAGAGACGCCTCAGTAAATCACCTCTTTCCCAGATCTGCACGAAGGTTGAGATGATCTAAGAACAAAATCACCAGCACTAGTGCACAATGAAGTCCACATGGGCTGCAACCCAATGTGAGAAGGAGAACCCCCTTTTGAGTTCTGAGCTTGACCAAACCAGTCTGTGCTGCCAGCATTTGTAGGAACAGCAGAAGATGATGTCCCTACAGAACTGCTTAAAGGAGCAGAGAAAAAGTACCATGTGAGTTATATAGAGAAATGATGGCAATTATCTCTTGGTAGCTTGTAACTTTCCATCATCTTTTAACAAGAAACCACTTGTTAAGATTACAAGTCCACTTTTCAGATTCTATCTCGTTGTAGAATTTTTCTCAACAACGACAAGGGCAAAGACACAAACAGTAAAAACGTAAATTTCTTTCCATGGGGAGATATCATATTTTTCCCTGGTACTCTTGGTTCTTTAGTTCGAGTAATGGAGCAGAACTCTCCAGTAACTACAAAGCCACTTCATCAATTTTCATACATAATTGTAATGTAAGCGTGAGCAATGTTCAAATTTTAATTCTTCTATTCAACTCCCTACTGTCAAATGAAAACCCAGAACATAAAATTCAAAATAATGTAAAGCAAAAGATAGGCATTTTACATCAATTTCCAGATATTTGATTAATTCAAATTTCAACACTGCTACACCAATTAGGTAACTGATTTACCTGGCAGCGGGAGTGAGGCTAGGAGGCGGAGAAGAAGATCTGGGCGGCAATAACAGGTCCCCTGAAGAACTTATAGCCTCGTCCTTCATGATTACTCCCTCCCTATCCCTCTCTCTGTATCGCTGTATGTAAATATATTTATTTGTATCTCTCTTTCTCTCTACAGTGTCAGACCTCGGAGTCAGCTCTGTGATGTAAAGTTTCTTTCAGTGATGTATTATGAAAGGATTATCCTGCCAAGTACAGAAAAAAGGGACAGGTGCTGCGTGTAATCTGCCCAAGTGTGTGTGTGATTTTTGTGAAAATTGGTACATAAATATTTTCACATAAATGACATGGATGGACGGTTGAAAAATTAACGAAAATGATAAAAACACAAAAAGAAAAAAATGCAGCTATACGCAGCGCCTGTACAATTTTTGTCCCTTTTTTTCTGTAATAATTCTAAAAAGTAAGTGACAAACAGATATTGTAATCTTCATGGGTCTTATAAAATGTATAATTAAAAACAACTTCAAATTTAGAAAAAAAAAAAAGCTTTACCAAACCAGCGATATATATAACGAAATTAACCAAATTATTAAACTTGAATAGTAAGTTAAATTTTAAGCATATCAAAATCGCTATTACAAAATGCGAGTATAATCCATACTACTTTTTTGACACTGATCAGTTCCTCATCATGCTCGTTGTGCGTGATGACTTATACATGTGACAGAAAAGAGAAAAACATTTTCATAATGAATTATTAGGCAAGTATAGGAAAAGGGGACAGAAATTGTACAAGTGTTGCGTTTGCAGCACGTGTATGGGTGCATTTTTTTTGTGTTTTTATCATCTTCTAGTGATAATCTGTCAAGTGTCTATCTGTATGATTTCTGTGAAAATATTTCGTACCTATAGCATTGTTGTCCTTTTTAATATGTCCCCCTCAGTTAATTAAAGTTTATATAAAATTAAAAGTTCAACAATTCCATCATTTATCCACTATTGCTACAGTATCACTTGATGAATCGTTTCACCTAACAATTTCTGGCACAATTCAAATCCAAGTTTCTTTAATCTGTGCGCACCTAGTTTCTATTTTTATATAAAATTTTATTGGCAAGAGTAGAATTATTATTTTTTTCTTTATTTTGCAAGAATACAAATATTTCATCGTAAACTCGTATCTCGAGTACTCTTCGGGTGTAGAGCCAAGTGGTTAGATGTACTATTCCATTTTTGTTGTCCCATTAATATGATATTAACATTTTGCGGAAATTATAAAATGATCGAGAGTTGTCAAAATTTCAAGAAACTTCACTATAATTTTTTAGGTGTAAGCTTTGTAATTTGTGACACTTCAAAATTGTAACTACGTGAAAAAGTGTAAAATGTGCGTGAGTCGTTAAAATTTCAAGAAACTTCACTCTATATTTTTAGGTGTGATCTTTGAAAATTTCTAGACTTTAAAATTGTAATGATGTGACAATGTATCGAGAATGTAAAAATTGTGAAGTAGAATTATTGGATAACGAAAATCAAAGAAAATGTTGGGGGAGAAAACGTTGGCCAGTGCCATATCATGCAATGTCGACATTTGACAGGCGTAGAAAGAGCCACACAAGCATTACCCAACCCAGTAGGACTTGCCAAATTCTGGATCCTCCCTCTACAGCCACACGGTTTTCTTCACCCCTTTATTGCAGGGAAATTTCAATATCCTTTCAAGAAAATACACTTCACTCTTTAATTACTAAAGGTTTATACAAATATTTCTTTTTGTGATTTTTTTTGTATCTTTTTGATGTTTTCTGAACTGGGTTTTCTCAGTTGTCGAAGAATATTACTAATTTTGTCAATTCTGGGAAATAACTCACTGAGAATATAAATTGAAGGGTGTTCATAAGAGCTTCTGATTTTGATTGTAGAAAGCTGTTTTTTTTTTTTTGGGGGAATTCGGTTTAATGTTGAAGAATATATAAGTGTTTTAAGTATGGCCTCTTTAGCTTCCCCTGTAAATTTGGGAAGCGTGAGCATGATTTCTTCTGGTCATTTTAAAGGGTCTGTTTGTTTAGTTAGACGGGTGGATTTTCGTGGAAATGAGAATAATTTTAGGAGGTTTATTGGTGGAAATAGATGGAGGTATGTGGGTTTGTGTAAATATTCTGTAACAACTAATTATATCACGGAACAAGGGACTTCGACATCTACTGATTCTACATGTAGAGGTAGTAAAGACAATGATACTGATACATTTCTCAAGGCGGCTCCCAAGCCGGTTTTGAAACCGGGGTCTAAGGTTGAAACTGTTCTTAATATGCCTTGGGATGAAGTGAAACTTAAAGAGGATTTAGATAATGGAAAGACAAGTGAAAGTGAGGAGGAGAGGAGTAAGGTAATCGAGTCACAGGGAGAAGTGTTGGAGATGGCGGAAAAGGTGGAGAAAAGTAAGGAGCCAAATGTTTCTGTAAATAAACCATCAGCAAATCAAAATGCAGGCCTAAAGAATGGTAAACCAGTTAATTCAACAGCTGATTCAAATAGCAAGTCGAAGGCTTCGAAAAGTGTCTGGCGGAAGGGGAATCCTGTGGCTACTGCACCAAAAGTTGTGAAGGAAGCCCTGAAACAGGATGCGAGAATAGATAATAGAGGGAAGGATGCATCTCATGCTATTACGCCACTCAGACCGCCTCAGCCACCACAGAAAGTTCAACCACAGTTACAAGTGAAACCCTCTGTTGCTCCACCGGTTTCTATCAAAAAACCTGTCATTTTGAAAGACGTAAATGCAACTGCAAAGTCCTCCGTTGCTGATGAAACCAATTCAACTGCAGCAGCAAAAGAGCGCAAGCCAATTTTAATTGACAAGTTTGCCTCTAAGAAACCTGTGGTTGATCCTCTGATTGCTCAAGCTGTTTTAGCTCCTCCAAAACCTGGGAAGAGTCCCCCGCCTGGGAAGTTCAAGGATGAGTTTCGGAAAAAGGGAGGTCCATCCGGAGGATCGCGTAGACGAATGGTTGATGATGATATCCCTGATGAAGATGCTTCTGAACTTGATGTTTCCATTCCGGGCGCAGCTACTGCAAGGAAGGGGAGAAAATGGACCAAGGCAAGCCGAAAGGCTGCTAGACTTCAGGCAGCTAAAGATGCTGCACCTGTGAAAATAGAAATTATGGAGGTTGATGAAGATGGTATGTTAACTGAGGAGTTGGCCTACAACTTGGCCATCAGTGAAGGTGAAATTCTTGGGTATTTATACGCTAAGGGAATTAAGCCTGATGGCGTGCAAAAGCTTAGCAAAGACATGGTGAAAATGATATGCAGAGAGTATGAAGTGGAAATCATTGATGCTACCCCTGTCAGAGTGGAAGAAATGGCAAAAAAGAAGGAAATGTTTGATGAAGACGACTTGGATAAATTAGAATATAGGCCTCCAGTTCTAACTATAATGGGTCACGTTGATCATGGAAAGGTCAGGTTACTCAATTTCTTCAAGCTTTAATAGATGCTTTATCATTGCAAGCTCCAGTTAATGTGTTTTTCTCCATATGCAGACAACACTTTTGGATTACATACGAAAGAGCAAGGTATACTGGCACCATTATTCACTTCACATTCCTTTTTTTTCCATTTTTTAAATATGTTGATGGCTTATAGCATACTGGCAACATGCATTATAATTGTTAAATGTTTAGGTGGCAACATCTGAAGCCGGTGGAATTACACAAGGAATTGGGGCATATAAAGTTCAAGTACCTATTGATGGCAAGCCACAAACATGTGTTTTCCTTGATACTCCTGGACATGAGGTAATCTTATTATTTTGCCTGTATTTCTATCTTAAGGTTTTATTACATTTCTGGACTCATTTGTTCTTTCCGTTACACGTTCATTTTAACACTCTCATGAGATCAACTCCAGGAATAACTTTGTATCTCTTTTTAGTATTATATGTTAAGCCTTCTATCCATTTCCACAGGCTTTTGGAGCAATGAGAGCCCGCGGCGCAAGAGTCACAGACATAGCTGTCATTGTAGTAGCAGCTGATGATGGCATCCGACCACAAACAAATGAGGCCATTGCTCATGCCAAATCAGCTGGAGTGCCGATTATTGTTGCCATTAATAAGGTGTCTTTGTTATGCTCTTGGTTATTGCTCGTTTGATGTGTTTCCTATTGGCATTCTGAATTGTGTTGTCTCTTTATTTTATTCCATGATTGTAGATTGATAAGGAAGGAGCTAATCCTGATCGAGTCATGCAAGATCTTTCCTCAATTGGTTTGATGCCAGAAGAATGGGGCGGTGACATCCCAATGGTTAAGGTGACAAAACTGCAACCTTGAAGTTTTATTTGCATTCTAATAATGTAACACCCCAAATTCTAATAACTTGGCGCGTTACCAAGCATGAGTTCTTTAACGTTAATCTCAAAATACGAGATTAAAGAAAATTTTTAAATTAGAATTTATTTACTCAAACTATATAATCATAACAATTTTTTTTTAAAACATATAAACTTAGAAAAAAATACGGAACAAAACAATTTGGGAGAAGTTTAAAAAAAAAAAAGCAAGATGAAACAGTTTTCTACATAGTTGCGCAGTGAGTTTGCAAAAATTATTTGACCTAACAAACCTTGAAGAAAATTTCTGAAATTTTACAGAAAGGTATAAAACTACAACATATAAAAATTCGGGATCTCGCCGACAATTTTTGAGGCACAAAATTATTTTTCTAACAAGCTATTGTGTGTTTCCCAAATTTGACCGTCACAGTTTACTGAGATTGCTATAATAAATTCTACGGGACTCCGATCGACCTATTTTCAGTTGCATACGATAGATAACTCACAAGGGATTATTTAAAAACATGCTAAAATTCTAAATATACCGACCATAGCACAATTTTAAAACAATGGCATAATTTTGGAATTTACTAAACCGCATGTCCAAACATTAAAACTTTTCGTCTCAAATCATGAATTTAAGCTACAAATTTCTGGAACACCCCAAAGAATTAAATTTCTCAAAAAATAACACATGCCATTCATGTCGAGCCGCCGCTGGATTTCCGATTACTCTGAAAATGTTAAATAGAAGTGAGCATCTCAAAGAAATACTCATTAGACTACACGTGCTATATGAACATAATAATCATTTAATTATGCATCCTTACATATTGTCTTCATAAATATACAAATCGATGATCAAACGATCCACTTAAAGTTCTGATGAGTCTCTGCGACCATCAATTTAACATATACACTTAAAGTTCTGATGAGTCTCTGCGACCATTAGTTAAACATATAAACTTAAAGTTCTGATGAGCATCTACGACCATCGGTTAAATATGTAATCTTTCTTGCATCAACATTTAAGAGAAACCATTAAAAGCACTTCATATACTTCATGAGCAAATATATCGAATAACATGCTTAAATGAAAATTAAATTCATCTAACAACAACTTCACGTTGGGATCGTACCTTTATTCGCGATAATACGGTAGTGACTACATCAACCGGTATTCCTTTCGAATCTTCAACGTGAAAATATTCTCTGCTTTTTTATATTTTTTGTGTGGCTGCTATGCATATAATATATATTCAGTGTGTACTATGTATTTTATGTATCTAGGATAACTTGTAATCTATCATCAATAGTATTTAATGAGTAATTAGGAGACTTTAGCCATGAGTTTTTAGCCATGTAACTCTCAAAGACGAGATAATGAAGGATTTTAAATAAACAAATGGTTTCCAAGTCAATTTTTGAAATCCACACGTGAATTGCTCAAAAATGATTGAATTGGTTATAATTCATTCCAATGAAAATCAATTAAAACAAATCCTAAAAGCTTTCATCCTAATCCAAAATCAAAAGGTCAAATTTCAATTTCCCGTGACTCACGATGACTTTTAAAACTAGTCAAGTGCTTTACTAACCTTAACTAAAATAGGACTTCTTTTGAACTACAATAACTTAGGCCTAACTTATTCGAAATAACTTTTTCTCGAGTCCAAAATTCTCCATTTAATATGAGTTTCGAAACAAGTCTAGTATCAATATGAAATTTCTCACTAAATGAATACTTGATTATTTGGTTGAATAACTAAAATATTGACATGAAAACTTATTTTTAAATTAATCCCTTGATATCTCAAAATTAACAACACATGTCAAGATGAAATAGATGAAAATTTATTTTCGGTAGTTACAAATATTGCTTTGTGTTTATTCAAATTATTGCTGAATATTCTATAACAGATAAGTGCTCTTAAAGGGGAGAATGTAGAGGATTTGCTGGAAACCATTATGCTTGTGGCTGAGGTAGTTTTTCACTCTTCTTTCAATGATAAACTGATTCTGTTTCCTCATTTCTCAGCAGTTCTAGTTATTTAGAGACTGCCATCCATTTGACTGCTTTGGTCATTTAATGATCTATTTTTAGCTTTAATATGCATGTGTTGGCTTTCTTTCGACTTGAATTGGCACATTTTCACGTTCTTGCTCACCTGGGCACATCCCCTAAATTCCTGAGAATCAAAAAGTATTGAAGGTTGTAGCCGATGTTAGAATTTTAAATTTTTTGCTGAACTTGTATGTCTTCTTGTCTATATTTTGAATTTGGGTTTTGTGATTTTCCTTCCAAGTTGCAAGACCTGAAGGCTAATCCACATAGGAATGCTAAGGGAACAGTGATTGAAGCTGGTCTTGATAAATCTAAGGGGCCTGTAGCTACATTTATTGTTCAGAATGGCACATTGAAAAGAGGAGATGTGGTAGCTTGCGGTGAAGCATTTGGAAAGGTTGGTAGAGGAGACTTGAAATTTGTTGAACCTTTTTATGATATAAAAGTTCACTGTTATGTTCATTAAAATATGATTGATACTGGGTGTAATATTAGTTGCTTGCATCAATTAAATTTGTTATCCTATAGTCAAGAACTTCATTATTTTGCCAACAATCAGGTGAGGGCTCTGTTTGATGATAAAGGGAAGCGTGTTGATGAAGCAGGACCCTCTATGCCTGTACAGGTATGTTGCTAGTTTCGTTTTTTATATTCTAATTCTTGTTTATTTTTGTTACGGTGTCATGATAATTGTATCTAATTTCACTCAAGATATCCGTGCCCTTTACAATATTTGCAGTTTTTATATATGGATTTCAATATTTGAATTTGAGTTTTCCTCCTGATCTCCAAAATGACTTTTGCAATTGGAAAGATGCCATGTTTGCAATATTATTATTTTGGATCTTCTATGTTGCATATACTATTAACTCAGTTATCTGTAGCATATATTAGATTTATTTTTTCTTGTTTCCTTGTGTGGGTCTGTAAGATTAACTGCTGAAGTACAACTTGAGTAACAACTATGTGCTACTCTGCTTTATCTTTAAGAATCTTTATCATACTTCGATTTTGGTCATTTTCTACTCATTCAGTATCATAACTTGAATGAGTAGAAAATTTCTGAGTCTCTTGCTTATTCTATAAACTCGATATTCAGTTTCTTTGACTCTTTAACCTACTATCACATATCCAACCTTCTCATCAGGTATAAGTTGATAATAAGAAATAACTACCCCTGAAGTTGTGTTTGGTTCAGAGGGAAAAGAAGGTAAGAGGAGTAAAGAAGAAAGTAATTTTTCTATTTGATTTTGCTTTGTCATTTCATGTAAACCCAGAAGAAGGGAATATATATGTACTTTCTTTTCTTTCATATACTTAATCGCAAACATGGGTTTAAGTATTCCAAAGGGCCTTCCTTCTTACTACCAATATATGTACATCTTTTTGCAACCAACGGACCATAACCATCTAGAAATCCATCCTGTGTCATAAGTTGTAGGGGAGTATGCTTCAACCCTTGTCCAAATAAATACAATTAAGGAATGATATTTGTAGAAGAGATTTACTTATTTCAATCAGTTTTTGAATTATAATAAGTTAAATAAAATTAACAAAAAAAATAATTTCTGGAATCATGGAAAAGAAACACTTTTGCTTGTGAAGTAATATCCTTTGCACATGTTTTTAAATAGAATTTTATAAAAACCTTTCTTTCTTCCTTTTTTTTTTTTTAACTGCAAGTGAAGGCTTTAAGCAGCTCATGACAACATAATTTGCTTGTTACATATGTGAAGAATTAAAATATTAATGAATGATAAGACTGCTAGGATAGTCTGGCAGGGGAAAACAAAATTGATATTATGTGATAGCAAAAGAATTCAAATATTGTAACAATGTGAAGATGCTAGTTTTATTTAGGTTCATCAATAATTTCTAAGCCTTTCCACCTTTATTTTTATTCTTATTATTATTTTATTTTCTGCATCAACTCTGGTGTTTTTGGACTTGGAGCTGCACAAATCAATCACATGAACTTATTATTTGTTGTGAAAGGAGCCTAACTTGAATTTCCTCCAAAAATCATGTAAAAGAGAGAGAATAAAGTTATAATTTTACCAGATTAAATTATACCTCTATTTTCTTATTTCATCTTTCTGAAGTGAAACCTTAAGGACAAGGTACTTGATTTTGAATTGATTATGTTTCATAGCAGGTAGATTCTATGACAATTGGTTGAGGCTGAAAAAATAAATAAGTATCTTGGCCTTCATTCTTGCAATCAATTCAAACAATGTACTCTGTTAAATTTCTTTCTCATTTGATGTCTCTTTAATGTCTCTCTCTTTCACTTAGGCCTGATAATTGGTGGAACTTATCATATGTAGCTGTTTTTTTTCCAAAACTTGAATTTAAATATTTGTTCTGCGCACTCAGGTCATTGGGTTGAACAATGTTCCCTTAGCTGGTGACGAATTTGAGGTAGTTGGCTCCCTTGATGTTGCTCGTGAAAAAGCAGAGTCACGGGCGGAGTATTTGAGAAATGAGCGTATAACTGCAAAAGCTGGGGATGGAAAGGTGACACTTTCCTCTTTGGCTTCTGCTGTTTCGGCAGGAAAGCTTACTGGATTAGACTTGCACCAACTCAATATTATTCTGAAGGTTGATCTTCAGGTATGCATATCGATTGTGCTCCATAACCCAAATTTTTGTTACAGTATGCCGCAAAATTAGCTGTACAATGAGGATATGGTAATGGCTTAGAGTTGATTGAGTGCTGGATAAGAATACAAACTAAAATTTTGCAAAATTATTAATTGATATTACTGCATGATAATAACTTTTGATACGACTATACCAGGAAATCTACATCTTGAATATCCTTGCATCTCATCATAGATCATACCTATTACTGCAATGGGCAGTTTTGTATCTTTTGCATTTCTATATTGTTACTTGGTCAAATGTTTGTGGAATTGCTATTTAAATCGAAACACTTGCAGTCTGAAATCAACTCAACTAAACTTTATCCCATATATATCTCAGTTGGCTACATGGTTCCTCTTCTACCACTCTGCTCTATCAAGATTCATATGAGCAGTTGCACCATGAAGACTCAAATATTTTGTAATTACCTTATTCTCTGTGATTTTAGGTCAGACCTTTTCTCCAGGTTTACCATGAGCTCAACTATTCTCCATCTTGCTAGGAAAAAAAAAAAGAATAAATAAATAAAATCTAACTGTAATTGGATGAAAAGATCAACTTGTCCTGCTACACTTGTAGTGTTTGAAATATAATTTTAATTCATTGGCTACTATTGACTGGAACTTAAGTTTTTCTACTTGGGGAGACTCACCTTTCAGGTGTATTTCATGTTGTTATCAGAAGTTATTGTGGAAAAATAAAATAATGGAAGTCATTGTTAATATATTCAAAGCATCACTGTTCAATATGCAAGGATAATACTATCTGCAGTCAAGTTATAATCTTAGATTTTGACCAGGGATCCATTGAGGCTGTCAGACAAGCTCTTCAGGTGCTTCCACAAACTAATGTAACTCTGAAGTTCCTGTTGCAAGCAACTGGGGATGTGAGCACCAGTGACGTTGATCTTGCAGTCGCAAGTCAAGCTATAATTTTTGGCTTTAATGTCAAAGCACCTGGTTCCATCAAGAGCTATGCAGATAACAAAGGCGTTGAGATCCGGTTGTACAGAGTTATATACGAACTTATTGATGATGTGCGAAAAGCAATGGAGGGACTTCTGGAGACTGTTGAGGTAAACTATATTCTTATATCCTATTTGGGCTTTGCCTTTTATTTGAGCATCTTTAGTAGGAAAGATACATCACAGTTGGAAAAACATGTGTCTGGCCTGTTTCAGGATCGAAGGACACTTTAGGTGGTTGATCTGATTTTAGGCATGCAAGGTACTTAACCAACAATAAGTTAGTAAGCTGGTGCACAAAGTTCTCAGTTGTCAGTTAATACACATCCAACTATAACGTTGTCTACGTTTTGAAATCTCGTTGAATTTGTATTAGAAAAGAAAAAAGAAAAAAAATGGAAATGAAAGATAGATCTTATCCTTCACCTTGGGGTTTAGAAGGTTGCATTTGTAAGATGCTTAAATTATCCACTAGAATCCAGTTTCCAGATCTCTAGGGTTGCAGGCTTCATCTTGGCTTGTGGGCGCTGAAGTACTTCATGATTTAATTGTTACTGGTAAAGCAGCACACTTTTAACTGGTGTTTTTTGCAGGAACAAGTGCCAATTGGTTCAGCAGAAGTAAGGGCCGTATTCAGCAGTGGCAGCGGCCGTGTTGCTGGATGCATGGTAACAGATGGAAAGATAGTGAAAGACTCTGGAATTCGTGTTTTGAGAAAAGGCAAAGAGGTTCATGTTGGTGTCCTTTGTTCTTTAAGGCGGGTCAAGGAGCTTGTGAAAGAGGTACCTTTAGTCATTTGTCATTTCTTCTACTAGCTTTCTTTACTATTTGAAATAAACTTTTTTTTTTTTAGTGATACTTCAATAGGAACTCATAATAATTGGTTTAGTTGTTCTTTGAAATATTATCCATGTTAGCGTAGCCTATGTTTGACTCATGTGTAAACACTCAAACCACTTTTTATTCACACGTTTCAAGAGACTCACAACTACTACCCACTTGTCATCAGTAATTTCTATGTATTTATAATTTAAATAGTTTATAAACAAAACACTTTCCAAACATGTTTTTATATTTTTGTTATAGATTTCTAAAAGAATAATATGTAAGCAATTCTAGAGGAACTGAAGCACTGGGCATCAATGTTTATATTCTTCCAAATGTACAGCAACCCTGAAGTGAATTTTTTTTTTTCCCCTTTTCTTCCGTCTTAAAAAAGTATATTATGTCAGACACCAAAGGGTCTAATCACAAATAACGGCATTTTTGCTCTCTTTGGGCGTTCTCTTATCTTTTCCTATTTGCTATATTTTTGGCTCCCTCCTTCCCTTGTGGACAGTATGAAGCAGTATAAATTCTATTTTTAAATTAAGTGAAGTTAGTATACACACCTTGTGTAAAAATATTGATCCCCTGTTTGGCCCCCATTAAATTTTAATTCATTTTTCTCCCTCCTTTTATCAACCACACATTCTATCAATAAAATAATATTACACATAAACCCAAAAATTTTCCTTACTTTTTAACCACACATTCTCCAAAATGTTCTATTCCAAAATCTTTTTTTTTTTTTTTTTAATTTTCAAATAATGGAGCTCAAAAAAGGGCTAAGAATCTCATCATTTTGCTTTCTAGAATTGAGCAGTAGGCATTAAAGTTGAACTGAGTCAGTTTATTGTGATGGTGTAATTTGATATTCAACTATAGTCCACATGAGAAAGTGCACGTAAACTCCATCTTCCTCAAATAGGAAAAGAGAAAGGAATACCAAGCTGGTTATTGATGGATTAGTCCTTCACTTAGTGCTGGCTTTGGATTACCAAGCTTGGTAAAAAGTTCATTTTTAAGAAATTACTAGAGTACATTTTTGCTTCTGTAGACATGGAAATGCATACATTTATTTGTTTATGGAAAATTACATGGAGTTTCTTCCTTCGACTTGAGAGGCTCCAACGGTAGAAACTCTATATTTCTTCTGTCTTTAATGCTCCAAAAGTGGAACATTTCAGTCTGTGTTGTGTGAAGACATGGGAACATTGTAAATCTTTTTCTGTCCTTGAAGGTAGATGTTTATGCTGAGTTTTCTCAAGTATAATTTGTTCCCATTTGATAGGTGAATGCTGGACTCGAGTGTGGCATTGGAGTGGAGGAATTCGATGACTGGGAGGAGGGAGATAGTATCGAGGCCTTCAACTCTGTGCAAAAGAAACGAACGCTTGAAGAGGCATCGGCCTCAATGGCAGCTGCACTCGAAGAAGTGGGAATAGAGCTGTAGAAACATATATCAAAGCATAGTCTTGAACCCAGTTGGATTTTCCCAAAGAATGGCCAGGAATTTGACACGAGTTAACTTATCATGGCCTCGTCCTAATCCTAGTTTTGATGCTGCCGGTTAAAGATGCAGATATTCACCCTCAACTAGATGCTGTTCGACTGTAAATATTCATATATGTTAGATTTGAGCTCCTTTTTGTAAAGTGCAACAGGTTAACATTCATCTGTGTTCACAAAATTCAATGGTGATTCCACATGTAACAGATACAGTGGTAAGGGAAGAAAATCCCAAAAGGGGGGAAAAAAATTGGAATTTGATATTATAAATATTTAACATTCAACTTCCCTTGTGCCTCTGTGTAGGATCAAATGTATTCAATTGATGAAAAGAAAAGATTTTTCCCAAAACAATATTTAGTTTCTTGTACTGAGAAATAATGCCATTTGTAGGGATGGCAACGGGGCGAGGCAACCTCCCCTGCCCGCCAAACAATTTCCTGCCCTTGCCTCGTTACCCGTTTAAGGCGAGGCGGGGTCCTTCCCCCTTTTACTATCCCATTTAATTTTTTTTTTTT